GGGGATTTGTCAGACAAGAACCGATAGTTCGTGCGGGACCGCCATTTCTGTTCCACATTTAAAAAAAAGAAAGCCATGGACGATTTTGTTTTGTTGTTTTGTTGTTTTTTGTTGCTGTTGTTTTTGTTTTAACTCTAACCAGGTTCTTCGCTGTTCGAAATATCTTTAGTTTATAGTTTGCTTTCCAGGACTCAATAATATGTACCTATAACTCTGTCTTGAGACATGAAGTTATTTTTGGGGGGTTCAAATTATAATCTTCGCTGCACATGTATGCACACTACAAACATACCAACTCCCCCCCCCCAAAAAAAAAACCCAAAAAAACCAACAACCCCAAGAAAACCCCGTAAGCTTTCCATGAGAAATTCAGCACGGAACTAGCCTTACTGAATGAAAACGTGACGCTATTAAATAGTGAATAGTGAAAAAATAAAATGTTAAAGGTTTTGGAATATTTGAAAAAGAGCATCCGAGTTCCCAGTAAAAAAAAAAGGGAATGCCTTCGTGTTTTGTTGATTTATCGATTCATAAATCTTTAGGTGGATCTCCCCAAGTCTAAAAGTGCACGCAAAGATAAAGTCAAAAGCTATGCCAATCGTGCTATTTGGGGAAAAATGCGGGCGACTGAGAGCACGGATGTGAAAAAGAAATCAAAACACCAAAAACAAACGAACAAAAAACTTTAAGAAAATTTTAAAAAATACTCCCCCCCCACCCCCTGAAACAAATCGAACACAACAGAATACAAAAGAGAGAGAGAGAGAGAGAGAGAGAGAGAGAGAGAGAGAGAATTATTATACACACAGCACGTTTGCGCGTCACATCGGTCGTTCTGTCCTCTCCGTCTTTCGTGATACCTCTATCTATCCCTCTGTTCTTTTGCTTTATTTTTGTTCTTTTCATAGCTCTCCAAGTGTTTGAGAAGGCTGGTCGGTAGGTGATCCCCTTCGGGGGTGCAATCCCCCCCCCCCCCCCCCCCTTTTTTTTCTCGGCCGTAGCTCGCGAAATATTATAGCTGATTATCCAGCTGGCTCCCTGTACTTTATGCCTCAGCTCGACAACCCCACTCAATACGCTCAGAGTATTCCCTTTCACTCAGCCGGCACTTACAGTGCGTCGAATGTGCACACTACGTTTCTGTAATGCATTTTCTGTGTATCAGCATGTACATGGTGTGTTTGCGTGTACGAGTGCTGTTATACTGTTGGCACTTTTTGGACGACGACCTTTGAGTGCCCGCGAATGGGCCGCGCCGATGCTTCAAGTTTACATGTTTTTGTTTTTACGTTTGTTTTTGTTTTTGTATCTGTATTTGTTTCTTTGTTTGATATTAGAAAAGGACACAATATTGGGCGGGCATGAGTAATCCATATTGGCACGCGTACTGGTGGAGTGAGTGAGTCATGCAGAGTATTGTTTATTGTCATCTCTTTCCGTTCTGATAAAGGTGGTCCAGGCACGCGATCTATTTTTGTATTTGACCTTGTTCCTAACGAGTCTTGAGAACCTTTGACCTTTTTCTTACTTTTGTATCTCACTTTTTTTACTGACTAAATGAAAAAAAACCCAGCGAACTTTTCTAATTAAATAATGGTTGGACTCTAGTGTGCAGTTGAATATTGAGGAGTAGGATTGGTAGAGCCATACTGTGAATTCATTATATAATTTGTATTTGCTGTAATACGTGTACGGTCGAACTTGACCACCTGTCTAAGGCAATCACCTGTACAAATGGTTACTAGACTATCCACTCTCTCCTTGGTTGTTTTTTTGGCCTTCTCTTTATTATAATGGCACTATTTAAGAGGACCATCTGTCTAAGATGACCACTTCTCTCCTCGACATTGGGTGGTTGTATTGGACAGGTGAGACTTTAATTAGCGTAGTGAATTTAAAAAAACAACAACACTTGCTACATTTTGCAAACCATATTTAGTAACTCAGTCCAAACAAGGTACACTACTCGGTATTACTTATCATCTTTGCTCACTCAAAAAGAAACAAAACAAGTTTGGAATTAAATGATTGTTGTATAAAAAACTTTAATGGTTTTCCTTTCTGTGTGTACTTGCAGCTGAGCTTGGTGATTATGAGCCGGACGTGCACTCCCCGGGGACCGTGTCTGAGTTCAGGTTTGTCCCAAACCAGACGGAGCAGATGGAGCTGGACATTTTCGAAAAGTACAAAGATTACTAGTGAGTACAGGTTTTTTGTTCTTTTTTTTGTGTAAGTGTTTCACAACGCTCGCAACTGTATAAGATCATATGAAGCCACAGGACACATTAAACATTTTCGGTTAGTAGGATATTTTGAATTTTGCCCGGGTGGCAGCCAAAGCCTACTCTTATCGATTTTAGACCACCAAAGGATCTTTAACGTGTGCAACTTGCACACGGGACCTCTGAGATTTTTCACCCTTGTCCGAGAAGGCTGGGTGTTGATCTTTCCTACCGGAAGATCAGGGGTGTGGTTGAAAGACAGCAGTAAGAAGGAGCCAGGGAGTAGTAATAGAATGGCTGCAGAAAGAGTCAGGAGCCCAGAGGAGGGGGCCAAGGAGGTGAGGGCATGGGGGCAGAAAGTGGAGACAATTTTGGGGTTTTCTTTCTTTAAAAAAAAAAAAGTGTAAATAGCAGCTCTTAGTGCAAATGTTTTTAGATAAATAATGTTCTGTCACGCTGACGGTGTCATCTCTGGCTCAGAGGTTGATGTGCTATGTAGACTTTTGACATTGGTTGGAGGATGGGAACATAGAAATCCTTGACAAACCTTGATAGCCGATGTCTGCTTCAGATTTGGCACTGGGTGAGGTTTTGTAGATTGAATTGATCCAGGGAGAGGGTGGGGTTCCCGTGTGATGTAATAGTGCTCCTGTAAAAACAAGTGGTGAGTCAAATCCTTTGTGTGTTGTTTTCATTGATGTCATTGTATCGTATTCATGCATTAATGCATACAATTGTGTCTTTTTATGATTTGCATTATGTATATGAAAGACCTTGTGCGTGAATGCTGCCTGTATTTAAATGCCACTGTAGGCTGCTGAGATATCTTATAAAGTGCATTGAGCCTCGTAAATTATGGAAACGTGATATATAAAGCCATGTATTATTATTGTTTTTATTATTGTTATTGTTGTTATTATTATTTATTATTATTATTATTATTATTATTATTATTATTATTATTATTATTATTATTTAATCACAATATTTGAGCATCTCCTTACACTAACTAAAAGAACCTGCTGGTGCTGTAAAACTGAAGGACAAAGAGCCCAGAGGTTGAGATAACTTCAGTGATTCACATCTGCTCTCTCTTTCTCTCTTTACAGTGGTCAGACACCAGCCCTTGCAGAGCTGCAGTTTTTGCACAAGGCCAAGTGGCTGGAACTGTACGGTGTCGACATGCACACTGTGATGGTAAGTGTTGTTTTGGTTTGTACAGTTGTGTCCACTTAACAGCAACCCAGATAAGAGCAACCTCCGCCAAACAGCAACCTCTGCCAAACAGCAACTTTAGCTTGTATAATTGAATTTTTCCTATATAAACACCCCCCCCCTCCCCCCAATAGCAACCTTGGCCTCTATCAACAACCTTGGTTGTTATGAATTGTGTGGTAATAAATTTTTTTGACAATTCAAAAAACTGCAAACAAGGAGACCGGCTGATAATTTTGGTGAGTGTGCATCTCCCTGCTGTTATCGCCTCACAACACTGGGTTCCTACCTTTTCGATAAGACAAACCTACTTCTTCAGCATCTAAAGTTCTCTTTACGTTTTCTGAATATGCGACTTTTTCTTTCCATCAGGGCAGAGATGGTAACTCCTACAGTCTTGGTCTGACTCCTACTGGAATTCTGGTTTTCGAGGGCTCGCAGAAGATTGGGTTGTTTTTCTGGTAAGTTTCTGATTATTACTGTCTACTGCCTGGTAGACAGTTTTCCAGTTCATTAACTTACACTTGTCACACTTGTATTCCTTGACATTCTTATTGCTTCAGCTTTTTTCAGGTGAAGGAAAAGCATTTTGAAGATTGAGAGGCTATTCAGAATTGAAAATATAGATTCCTCTTTTTTTACTGATGCAGTTTCAGAATCATTGAGAAAATTGTATGATTGTTGAGAATCTGTTAAGGATTTTATAGGGTGTATCAATGGATGTAAAAAGATGTGAGGAACAAAAATTAAATGTTTGAGGGACTGATTGGCTAACTTTTCTTTTTGTCATTTTTCACATACATAATTTTTGTTTTCTTCATATGACTGCTTTATTAAGGCAAAGTGAGGCATAGTTAATTGTGTTTTTGATTATTTCAGGCCAAAGATGACTAAACTTGATTTCAAAGGCAAAAAGCTTATGCTTGTTGCGGTGGAAGATGACGATACGGTAAGAAGTGCTTGATCCCCTTTTTTATCTTCGCTTTAAAGTGATTACTGAATTAAGAAGCTAATTATAAAGATAATTTTTCTTTTGTTCGTTTGAATTTTAGCACAGCTATGTTTCTCTCTATCTTCATATACTGGGTTTGTTGATATTTTATATTCATTTTGAGATTAATATTAAATTATATTTGTAAATTATGTCAATTTTATGACACTATCATTGTATTTTCTTGAAAAAGATTTAATGTTAAAGGCTATCATTTATGATGTTCCTATTGGTGTGAAATATTTTAAATAGAAGGGTAGAATTTATAGCCACTGAAAAAAAAATGCTTGTCATTTATTGTTACAGATATTTGAAATGCTCTTTTAACAGAAACATACCTCAGTATAGTCCTTATCGGTTGCTGACAGTTCTTTTGGGATGTTTCTTCCTCAGGGTCAGAGCCAGGACCACTCGTTTCAGTTTCACTGCACCACCAAGAAAGCTTGCAAGCATTTGTGGAAGTGTGCGGTGGAACATCATGCCTTTTTCCGTCTCAAAGGACCTGTGAAGGGAAGCACTGGGAGGCAGAACTTTTTCAGGATGGGCTCGCGGTTTAGGTATAGGTAAGTGATCTTACAAGCTTATAGAAACATATTGTTGTCTGTTTTTGACACTGTACCTGTTGACCGAAGTACAGTGGAACCTGCTCTAACGGCAACCTGTCCAAGACAGTCACTTGTACAAACAACCACTTCCATCCCCCCACCCCCATTTTTCCCCCCCTACATTTTCATGACACCGTTCAAGATGTCCATCTGTTTAAGACAACCACTTTTCTCCTCAACATTGGGTGGCCGTCTCGGACAATTTCACTTGATATTTGTTTTATGTATGTAATGTTTTCTGAAAAGTTACTCAATTCACAGGCCTTTCACTCAATGAGAACATATTTTTGTACTCACTCATAACCTCCTTTTACTTCCTCCAAGTGCTGTGCTTTGCATTATTAGTTGCAAGTTCAAAGAATTTTTTTTTTTTTTTTAAATTCAGTAAAGTAATTTGACAATTTACAGCTGACTTGGTGCAAAGTATGTTCAGATTTACTCAGCTGGCTTGGTGCAAAGTATGTTCAGTTTTACTCAGCTGGCTTGGTGCAAAGTATGTTCAGATTTACTCAGCCGGCTTGGTGCAAAGTATGTTCAGATTTACTCAGCTGGCTTGGTGCAAAGTATGTTCAGTTTTACTCAGCTGGCTTGGTGCAAAGTATGTTCAGTTTTCCTGGCATCATACAGCAATGTTTTTAATGTAATTTTGCTTTCTGTTTTATTTCAAAAGTGGCCGGACCGAATACCAAACAGCAACGATGAACAGAGCACGGAGGAGCGTAAAATTTGAGCGAAAACCTAGTCACAGATATTCACGGAGGCCCACATTTGAGCGGAAAGAGAGAGAGGAAAGGATGAAGAAAGATGCAGACAGGAAGAAAAGGCTTGAGGAGGACAGGGACAGGTTTGTGTTACATTTCCATGTTTCAGAATGTTTCTCGGCACTCATATTGTCATTGGTACACCTGTTAGAGACGTACACTGCAAAAAAAAAGAAGTCTTTTTGTGCATTGCTGCATTATAACTATTGCGTTTCAAAATCGCACAGATTTTTACTCTTTTTGTGTTTTTTTATTCTTTGTTGAACAAAATGTCTTTTACGCATATTTACGCATGACTCGGCAGCATTTAATAAAATGTTATCCTGTTTAGTTTGACCACTTAACTATCAGCTGTGAATAGACTTGTGCCTTTGGCGTTTCTTAATTGTTTTATTTTATTTCTTACAGACGAGCAGCTATTGCGGCCACTAAAGCATCGGTGGAAACTACGTTTGACGCCCTGCCAGACAGTGCGCGGGCGTCGGTCAACAGCAACTCGACCACGGCCACAGCACAGTCCAGTGTGAGAGCTCCTGACAGTCCTCCAGTTCGTCCCCCGAAGCCCACTGCGAGGAAAAATCTCAAATCTAATTCCACATCCTCTGAGTTGCCTGATACTGGCTCCAGCTCATCCAAGCCTTCAGGCTCAGCTTTGGACAGACTTGACACGCTCATTAAGTCGGCTGCGCTGGAAAAGGGATCGGGCGGATCGGGCGAGGGGCCCGTCTCTACCCCCAACGGGCGCAAGTCCTCTGTTGAAGACAATAACATCAATCTGAGAGGTGAGCTGAATGACTTGTGTTGTTGTCCACGGAATGAGCAGACTGAGTGCTTGTTGTATGGTGATATTAAAAGAAGGAATAGTTACACCAAATTTTATGTTAACTTCAAGCATCATTTATTGAAGAATTTAATCACTGCAGAATTATTAAGTTTGCCACTTCAGCATAAAGAGAATTGTAACACATCGGTTTTTTGGCTTCAGGAAGTGAACTTAAGTTGTTGATCTGATTTGTGACCTTTCAAATGTTCTTGGCGGTATGCTAATTAAAGCTATAATTATGTTTAAGTGAAAGGAAAAGATAAAAGAATCTGTACAAATGCCAAAAAAAATAATGATTTGTCTGGTCTGTGAGCCTTGTATTGTTTGACAGTGCACCACAGACAAACGTTCTAGCACTGTCTTGCTGTGTTGTGGATGTCCTACTTATGCACTGACTCATGTCTGTATTTTGTTGTTTCAGTTTGCATTTGTGAATCATTTTTAAAATCTACCCTTGGGCATAATTTTTACTGCTCTAGCTGTAAGGATGGTTGTGGGAAAAGAAGAACTTTTAAATCTTTAAAACCCTCTCTGTATGCCTGAGGTCATTTTGTACCCAAGGGGTTGTATTCTTTCCATTTTAGAATACTTCTAGTGCAAAGGTCTCTTTGAAACTTTCAGTATTTCTCAAAAAATCATTTTGACCAACTGCTATGCAATATGCAAAACATATGGATCGGATTAACGAGTCAATTTCCTCTTTGGAAAGAGGGGGCACAGAGTTCCCCATGTCATATGGATACGATAGTAAAACACGACATACAGATAGGGTTAATGAGACTTTAGTAGGGACAAGCCCTTGAAATCAGAAAATGGCTCTACTTGTTTCTGTTTGTCAGTATTATTTCATATATAATCCTTTGGGCTGGGTGCAGCATGTTCAGGAGTTGCATCCCACCAAGTGTTCTTTAGCACCTGCTTCTCTTATGTGCTTCACACCCGCTTTGGAGACAATGATTTACAGCTTTCCCCAAATAGGTGCCTTGCATGTAAGTTTAAAGTCGGCTGGCATCGAGTGGCATTGCTACTCGTAGGTGAAGATTAAGGAACTTAATGTTTTATAGTTTAGACTTACAGGTGCATTGGTAGAGATCTACATGGTAGACATTTACACTGAGTTTGTTTTTGTTTTTCCCCATTTACCAGACGAAAGTGAGAAAGCAATAGCAAAAATGAAGAACTTGGATGAATCTGTTCCTGTCCCAGTGAAACGGAAAGATGTCAACACTTTCCAAAACAACCAAGTGAAATTCACAGGAGGGGCTTCCAGTATCCCTCCAGAGAGCTTGAAATGTAATATCCTCAAAGCCAAAATGGAAGAAGATCATCTGAAAGGTTTTTTTTCTATTATGATTCATTCTTTTCACTTGTCTTCATGTACGCTATTCACTTTCAGTATCTGTAGACTGCTAGCCTGTCTGAAAGTTAACCAAGTTATATAGTATTGTTCTGTCTAAATGAATATAGAAGTCGCACCATTAAACAGCGCTATGGCCATGATCAGTTATGTTCAGATAGAACTGTGGGTACAAATTTAGATAGAAAAAATAATGTCTTTTGAAATTAGAAAACGTATCTTTCCTGATAATTGCTCTTGAAAAAATAATTATAAAAAAAGTATCCACAGTCAGGGTTTTGAAGGACGCAAGTAGTAGTTTAGAAAAGTTACCAGTCTCTCTTTTCATCTAATTCACTTAGATGGTGATTCGAAGTCAGTGTCAGATTATTTTTAGGATTGCATCAATGAAATGATAAAAGTCCTAAATAAAGTGACAAGCTTCGAGGCATCTCTGAGCCAAGCCTTAAACATGAAAAGTTTGTTTTGTGGTGCGACTGATCCTATATATAAATGCTTGCCTCAATAATGTCTTGCTGTTGTTGTTTCTTTTATAGTTGCAAAGCCTAAAAGAAATTATGGCAATTTCTGAGTGACAAGTTAATTTCTGTTAAACCAAAAGAAACAGCTTTATTTATATTAGATAAAACATAAGATTTTAAAAATTATCCCTTCATGAAAGCAGTGGACAAGGTCAGCATATCACTTTCTTGTGCTTTGAATAAAAAATTCAAATGTAACCATCACAGAACAAGTATTTTTCCTTTATTTGAGGGTAACAAACCCGTTTCATGCCCCTCCAGAAAGTATTTTATCATCTTCCTGTTTCTGATAGTATGTGCTCCAATATGTTATGAAAAATATTTTACCTTTCAGATGCAAACTTTTTGTATTTGCCTGCCTTTGTTTTTTATTTTGTTTTAATGTTGGTATTTCTGTTTTTGATGTAACAGTATTTCTGTCTTTAAACTAACCAATGGGCATTATATATGTACTTGTATTCATGCACTGGTTCTTGTTGAGCACAATTCTTTTTACCCTACTTGTAGAATGTAGTCCTCTTTCTGTGTGTGGAAAACAAGATATAAAGTTTACCTAAATTGAGGATTTGTACTTCAGGCATGCTAACAGCAGTTCAATTCTGTAAAGCCTCTGCAAAATACATAGTCTCTTTGATTGAAGGGGTTTTAACAGACATAGATTTCTTGCGGCAATGGGGCAGTTGCTTATCAACTTAATGTGTAAAGCATTAGTTACTGGCTTGATTCGGACTCCTGACTGGGATCAAAACCATTTTGCTTGATCTGTGTCTGTATGGAATATTTCCTCTCTGTGCGATGTTCTGAAGCAGGACTGCGTACTCCGCCTACGAAATGGCTGACTGACATTGTATCTCCTTAGGGTGTGCTACTTCTACTTTATCAACAGAGATAGGGTAATTTAATTTTCTTGAGAGCATAATAAAAAAAAATAAGATGCTCTGGAGTTAAAAAAAAGGAATAAATTCTTCAAACAAATTTAATTTAAAAGCTGAATTAGTTTCTTGAACAAGTACATGTAATAAGCAAAATTAATTTTCCTTCTTTGCCTTCAAACCAGAATACACCCCTTTATCTTCTTTTCTGTTTATGATCCTGTGTTCATGTTGTAAACTATATTTTAGAAATATTTTTAGGTGAATGATACAGAAAAATTTGAACAACAGATTCAATTTGCTGTTTTATGAAAGTTATTTAATCTTCCTCAAAGAATGTCAAGGCGTATATCATAGAGATTTGTATACTCCCATTTAATTTTGCTGAGGAAATATGTAGTTAATTGAAATTGGTCCTCAACATAATGGCTATATTTAATTTAACGCTTTACTATCAAAAGATGTTGATTGACGTAGCGAAGGTGAAAGTAAATGGAAGGCTAGGGATTGTTTTCTTGGAAGCTAAACACTCTTACTGTGCTCTTTGTGCAGTAGGAAATAGCAGGATATATTTCTTTATGGATGTTTTCACCTTTTTTTATGCACCTATTATTTGTAGCATTTTCACTGGAAATGTTGATTGAAGCTTAAAATACATCTTGATGGTCTTAGACAAGATGTATTTTATTGAATCTCCTCTGGAAGAAATTAACAATTACCTTTGTTGCAGTTTCAACTTATCAGAAACTTTCCTTTTGACTCCTTGAGTCTTGCATTACTGTTTACGCACCTTGGATATGAAACGACTGTGCTTTCGCTTTACACATTATTTAGTTCTGGAAACTTTACCACCAACAATTTTTCTTTTTCTTTTTCCTCTTTTTAACAGGGGGCAACGCTGATGAGCCAGCTGCAGAGAGAGAGAGAAGGTATTTTGTTCTTGTCTCTGTTTCAGTTATATTTATTTGTCATTGATTTTGCTTTCAGACTTCATTTCATAAGGTCATCATGACATGGGCTGACCTTTTTTCTATCAAGTCCCTTTCCTTGATTTTTCTTTTAAAAAATATTTGTGAAAATTAGGGGATCACAGGATATTGACAGATTGTTCAAACTTTTTAATTTATTCACTCTCAATTCCTCTTTCTCCTTTATCAGATGCTGTTTAAATTGACAAGCTGCGTCCTAATTCTTTCTTGGTTTACCTCTCTCTCTCACTCTCACTTCTGAAGTTTGCCCTCCTCTAATACCGACATACTCTGAGACCATTTACTTACCCCAGGATGGTGCAAGATTGTTGTAATTTTTTTGGTCTACAGAAAATAACTTACAGCCATCTTTGCTTCTGATGATCTATTCATAGTCATGTACAATTCTATTGTTTTTCTCTCTGTCTTGCTAACCACATACAGGAAAAATCTTACTCTATGGGTAGGGGTTGGGGGTGCAGGTAGTAAATATAAATAAAGAAATAATCATCCCATAGTAGCGGAGGAGTGAACATTTTCATATACTCTCGTCTACTCTTTGTAACACTAAACAAACTCTTTGAATTTGCTTTTTTACCAAATCACATTTGTTTTGCATAGCCTTAATATTTCACCATAGACATTTACCTCTGCTTGATTTATATGAACAAAGAAATCACCGGTGCAAAATCTTTGTTCCTTTCTTTGACTCATGATTTTGATTCCTTTTTTAGAAGTTGGGCTAATTTAACCTTTACATAGTGCTTTATGGCGGGGCTCTGTTGTTGTTATTATTATTATTTTAAAGTTTATTTTATTTTCATATCAGTAGTATCCGGTTATTATCACTCCAGTGTTTCATCGGGGAGGGGAGGAGGGGAGGGGGGGGGAGGAGAGAAGTTGAAGGAAGACTTGGCATAGCAGATCCAAATTTTTCTTAATTATAATCAGTTGTGAATATATTCAGTGATTGGAATTCGTCTGTCATGCCTTGGACAAGTATTTTCATCGACATTTCTGCTGACTACCTGGCAAAGCGACTGTACCACAACTCTCACTGATCGTAGATGTTCTCAAGCAGTAATCCTGTCTCTTTGTCAGGGACTATTTTTTCCCACTGGTTTCAAATTGTACCTCCAAGTACACGCAAAGTACAATCTACATCGTCCAAAGTGGCCACCCATTGTTGAGGAGAAAAGTGTTTGTCTTAGATAGATGGATGTCTTGACACAGTGTCATTACAACAGAGAGAAAACACAAGGGCGGGAAGTGGGAAATACTCGTTTGTACAGGTGACTGTTTTGGACAAGTGACCTTTATTACAGGTTTGACTGCAATGTTTTGCAAAGTTTCTTCTTTTGATGTTCGAGTTGAGAGACTACATAGTATCCACAGAAAGGAAAAATGAAAGGAAGGAAATGGTAGAAAGGGTAAAAGAGAAATGAAGACTAGGAGAAAAAGAAAAGTAGAACAGACAGGAGAGAAAGCAAAATTAAAAAGACAGAATTATGTAACATTTGGAAGAGAAAGAAACAAAAGAGTCTTTACTTCAATTATTTTTGGGGGGTTTGATACAATTCTTGGGCCAAGCCAGGGGCCTCAATTAGCTGTAAGTTTGTTGGTGTTTTTTTGTCTGTAACTGAAATTGTCCAAAAGTATCCTTTGGCGGAGTTGATATTAACCAGATTCTACTGTACTTTTGTGGGTGAGTCACATGTTGGTTTTTGTTTTTTTCTACACCTGGTCCTGATTGCTTGCTTGCAGTGAAAATAATAGCGAAGATGATTCTGAGCCCTCTGAAAGGGCTGAGAAGAATAAACATCACAATGTCAGCAGTGATAGTGATGAAGAGGAAGACATGAAAAACGAAAGGTAGTTGATTGTGCTATCAGCATCTTGAATATAATAATGTATTTTTATTCTCTGTGCTTGCTTCCCTGTTGAATCATTTGATGGGTGTCTTCAACCTTTCAATTAGATCTACATTGAAAATTGTAATAAAAAAAACAACAAAACAGCGAATGTCTTTTCTTGAATTTCAAGTCTTTTATCAGAGGCAAATGCTAAATAATGATGATAAATGATACTGTTAAGTATATTTTAATCTGTGATTAAGAATTTGTTTGAGAATAGTGTACTTCAGTTAAAGACTGGCAGGATTGTGCAAAAATTTATTTCAGAGGCTCACTTTCTATTCAACTCTTATCCTAAAATGCTGAGTAAGTGTGTTAATGAAGAAATGTCTCACAATGTTTGAATCCTACTCGAAGAGAGTATTTGAAGGCATGCTGGAAAGTAGCGTTTGCTTTATTTTATTCATTCTTCCTACAGTTGTTTCACAGCCAAAGATGTTATACACAGACAACTTACTCAATTATCATAACGTTTGCCTCTGTCATATCCGTCCAATACTTGCTTATTTGATAACAATTTCTTGTTCTTTGTCTTTGTTTCCTTCATTGTCTCCTCTTTTATCACAGGCTTTTCATTTTTCCTTCTTTTTCCTTTGGTTTTTCCATTTTCCACTCTTCATAACAAACGCAAAAACCTTTTAGGCCAAAGTACAAAGCACATTTTTGTCAAAACTTACTCTTTTCAGGAGTGATAGCAACAGTATGTGAATGGCAGACGTATATGTAGTTTAGTGCTGCCCTTTTGGTTAAGAGGTTGAGACACCCGTGAGAATGTTATGTCATGAACAATAACCAGTTTGTTCCTAATATTAGAATGTTTTGAAAGTATTATCAATATAAGATGGTATCATGCGCTTGTTACAGAACAATATTACTGCATGTCTTGTCTGTTATTTGATTTCTACTTTTTTTTTTACCGTACTTAACGTGTTCATAACTTTTTGGGGCCAATATTTTTGGTGCAAAAGGTATAACTATTAATTGTGTATTTTCTTTATTGATGTTGTGTAACGTTTGAGTAAAGCATTGAAAATGTAATGAGAAGAGGAGAGATGGAATTTGACAGGGAAGTCTGAATGGAAAATGCTGATTTCCAAACAGTATCTTTAGGAGAAAAGAAGAACAACAGTTTGTGAATGTGCAGGATTAAAATGATTCCAGCTGCATGCATGCATTTATCGATTTTAGGGCATAAACTAAAGGCAGTGTCTGTAGGGTACATGTGCGTGTACTGCAATAAGCTATTGATTTGATCAGTCAAATTTGTTATAACTGAAACCGGTTTTTAATTCTCCTAGTGACGTTTTGCTTTCAAGTAAAATATATTTAAAATAAACAGTCACCCAATCTTCCTCATAATTTTATCAGCAAACTTTTGTGTTGAAGGAATAATCTGAAAAAACAAATGAAGAGAGGAAATTGATTTTGCAAGTAATTTTTTAGGCTGCAGACTGAATCTCTCTATGCAGTGGATTGGAGAAAAGATGTTGTCTTGCCCTTTATGAGTTCTGCAGGAATATACTTGAATAGAGCAAATGGAACGGTGGCTAAAGTCACACTTTTGTTGAAGTGATTTTGAATCTGTGATAAGGAAAAGAGAGCTTGGGTGTCTCTCGGGAAGAGAATAAAATGGCATTTTTTACTTGTTAGTTTCTGTGTTTAGTGTTTCTTTTTCCTATTTTAAAGCAGGTTGTTTTCAGGAAAGGATTTGTTGATGTGAAAAAACTGTCCCTCAAAAGCTTAAAAAATTCTCTTCTTCATGGTAAAGAAGTACGGAGCATGAATCTGGAAACTGCTTGTTTTTTTAACATAATCATGCATGATATGGAAATGCAATTATGTTTTCTTTTACATTTATTCCCTGTAACCATGACTGCATAAATCCCAGAGTGCTGGTGAAAGACATTTTAAGCATGCACATTTTATTCTAAGCTGTCAGTATTTCCTAAAGCGAGAAGCATTATGAACACATTTCAAATAAATAATTTTAATCTGGTTAATAAGTTACACAGGCGAAAGAGAATTGCATATTTGAAACAAACAATTATATGGTTGGGATATCCTCTCCCTTCTTGCTTGACAACCCTTGGCACGTTGACAAATATATAATAATAATTTCTCCAATGTATGTTCTTAAATTATATCTTCTAAAATGATTTACTTGTTTTAAGGCAGTATAAAATGTCAAGTGGCAAAACCAAGGAACTCTTCTCAGAAGACAGCATAGCTTTAAGTTGAACACCGCCACATTGTGTTGGGTCTGTAAGAGGCCTGTGAATGGTTGAAAAACATCTCAAAGTTACCCTAATATTGTAAAAAAAATTAACCTAATTGTTGCAAAAAGTCATTGGTATTTATGTGTGAACAGGTTAGATAACAGAATAGAAGATTTTATGGGGATCAATAACTCAGGCCGAAGGGCTAGAACTCAAATGGCCACTGGATCGGAAAAGTAAAGTAAAGTATTTGGACCTAAAACCCCCCCAACCTTTTGAATGTTGTCCGCCAAATCAAGATTTCTTATTGTTTAAATAAATTAAATGTAATTTTCTATTTGTTAACATGTTCCTCGAGATGAATTAGAAGGAGAATGAATGAGTTTGTTCCACAGAGATTCTGTTCGTAAAAAAAAATTTGTTTATTAACACAGTGCAGTGGACTTTTCATGAAGTCATTAGATCTACTTTAGTTTTCTTTTGTTCTCCAGTTGTTTGTTTTCTTTATCTTTTTGTTGTATATTTACTTACTGGTATCTGATTACAACTTTATTTGCTGTCATTCTGAATTTGATTGTCTTAAATCCCAAAACTCTGTCCTAAAATTTCTATTCAGGATGACCAGTAAGTTTATAATTTGAAGACGGCTGTAGGAACATACTTCTTGTATTCACTCTGCCAACCTTTTATTTATTTTTTTATAGGACTCATAGAATGACTTTTTTCAATTTTCCATTAAAATGTTCCTGTCTTTTGGTATTCTTTTGTTTCATTTACAAAAGTAAAAATCATCAAATAAAATCCATTTTAGGATCTCTACTATATCTATAGCTACTCTTTTGATGCTGTCTTCCAAGATATATGTTGTTTCACCACATAATCACTTTATTCTCATCATAACGTCCTTCATATTGAACCATGTCTGTACTAGAATTTTCTTGTTTTTCTCATATTCGCCAACTCTGATTTGGTAACAACTATGCCTTGCTCATATGTTTCTGGTTTTTTGTTGTTGTTATAAAAAAAAATTTAAGTTATAAAATACCCAAACATTTGAGATAATTTATGTCACACATGCCTACTTGTTTTTACTTTATTTCTTTTTACCTATTTGAGCCATAGCGGGCACCATAACTCTTACCTACTGCAAACCTGTTGTGGGCTGCAAATGTAGCCTCAGATTTTTAATATGAAGCAGAAGAAAACAACTGAAATTTAGGAGTTGGGTAGTCTCTTTCAAAGAGACAGGGAGGGGGGAAGGGACGTTGTCATCAAAAGTCCATATATCCAATTATCACAAATCCAGCCAGCTTAAACCTGCTTAAAGGATTTAAAATCATGAGCTTTTGGATGGTGTAAGCCCCACACACAAGTCGACCTTGAAAGTGGCCCCAAATCTCTAGCAGCGTAGCCTTCAGCTTATGTCGCTTTAAACTTGACTGCTAGCTTAAATTTGTCTCTCTGTAGTGCAGAAACTTTGATTTTGTCGCCTGTTCCCCTCAGTACTTCTGGTTATTTGTATTTGACCTGTGGCTCAATGCTATTTATTATCTTTTGTTAAAGTTTGTCTTGTCACCCTAGTCTGAAAAGTGGACAAGAAAAGAAGAATGCAAGTATTTGCCTTTCCTTTTATAGACTCGTCTTATGCTCAAGTCTATTGTGTAAAGCCTGAACTCAGGAGCTTTGACTTTGGCTTTATAAATCCTCCGTCAGTGAAAGTCTTTGAATGGTGGAATTGAAATGCTGGGTTTTGTGGAAACCTTAATTATTCTATCAAATTTTCATTGAACGAACTGCCTTCCTTTTTCATTCCATGTGTATTCTTTACTCTCTTAATCTGCTTGTCTGGAAAGGTGTAACTCTGGCAGCATTTTGAAAAATCTTTGTGCTGAATACCTTGCCTCCTTGCTGCTTTCTCCCATTTCTTTTATTATCAGTGTCTTGGTTTTCTATACAACTTTTACATCTATTGTCTTTTTGCTGCCCCCCCCCCCCCCCCCCCCCCCCCCAACTCACCTGTGAGGAAGCACACCCTCGTTCATCCAGCTCTGACTGACTTTCTTTATGATTTTGCACACAAGAATTATGAAAAAGTTAGAAAGATAAGGCTGCAGTTTATTGTCTTGCTTCACTTCTGATCGAATGCTCGTACCGCTTTGTAATATCCCTCCTGGCAAGCTTGTTCTATCCAGTTTTGCAAGAAAAGAGATAGGATATTCATTATTTAGCCTCCCTAGGAAGAAACTCACAGCATGCTTTGACCAGTTTCTGCATCACAAAATTTGGATTGCTCTTAAAGCTATACAGTGTGGCTGCCTGTTAATCAAAGACTCAAATGTTTTTGTTCACATATTCAGGATCTTCAGATTCCCAAATACACATTTCCAGATTTGTGAATTGAGGAAATAAGATAAAGTATCCCCCTAAAAAATGCATTTTCCAACCCCGCATAACAGGGAATTGAACTCGCAGTCTTACAGTCAGTAGTTTGATGTTCTATTCAGCGGACTAGAATGCTCTCTGATACTGTTTTCTAACTTGGAAAGAGTTATCTTTTTTGAAAATGTCTCGATACTTTGACCAAGCAGATTTCTCTCATGACTTAATGAATGGTCAGGATGGTGAAATGTTTTGTGATCAATTTAGACGAGCTCGTAACACATGAATTAGTTAAGTCATATGAATTGTTGCTGACTTTTTTTTTTCCAGTTATGGGAGTAACATACCTCGGCCCAGAAAGGAACGAGGGTCATCAAGAACCTCAAATCATTCTGCGAATAATGGGTAATGAGATATTTGTTTGGTTTGAATTGTTGGAGTTTCTTTTTATCAAAATGTATGTTTCTTATACAATTGCTGTAAAAAAATTGTTAATCCTTTTTTTTTTTTCGGAGGACAGTTAAGAGTAGCATGGCATTTGAGATCTTCCTACAGTTTTTAAAAATGTTTAATCATTGCAAAGAATCATGTATTCTTATTGTTGTGGGAGGTTGTGATAGGTGAACAACTACAATCTCATGTGGTATTTACTTGAACAAATCTACTCTGCTTTCTTTGTGTCCCTATTATTTATTTTTTACTTTCAACACTTTGTCCACTTTGCTCCTCTTTCAAGCTAACTAACTGACCCCTGTCAAACAGTGCACACACACATACTCACCCACGCAAACACACACACACACACACA